AACATCTCTGTTACTTGCGCCGCTGAAATATAATCCTCTTCTGCCTCAACATCCTCGTTCGCTTCTGATTTATTAGCTCTTTTCCCTCTTGGAGGCATTTTAATAGTTGTAGAATTTGTTCAAAGACTTGAAAATGTAGAAGATGTGAAAAATCTTAGAACAGACAAGAGGAGCAGTAAACGTCTGCTCTCCCTTGCAACCCGGAAGGTTCTTTTTAAATAAATGCACACATCCAGTCTCTGGTTAACTCTTGCGTCCTCTCCTCTCCGCCTCTCCAGTACTTATCTGTGCCATTTACTTCCCAAATCTGGGAGCGTGGTTTCTTTTCATGGGAATGTTGGTGTGCATGCATAGCTGTGCAGAGCAGCTTGTGAGTCAGCAGTCAGTGTCTCGGTAAAAGATGAACTAGAATGACACAAGGCTAAACATTGAATTCATATACTCTGTAACACCCAAGTTAGAAAGACCAAGCTTGCCCTGATTCCATGTGGCTGTCACAGGTGATCTGGTCTGTGGCACAGGAATAAACACTTGCTAAAATAGAGCTGGGTCATGTGTCTTTAGGTGTGCGTGTGTGTTTGCAGGTTCAGAAGGCCTGGCTGTGTTGATCTGTGAGACACAGGAGATGATTGCTCTTAATTTGTCCCTGACTTTTGAACTTTACATGCATCTCCTTTCCATCCCTCCTTCTCACTCTCATTGCCTGTGTGGTCCTTTCCCTTTTAATTCTCTGTCAATCTGAAGGCTTAAAAAATAACTAAAGTTTTTAAAGCACTTTCTTGACAAATATGTGACTGTTTTTAGGTCCTACACTTCTGCCTTTCCTGTCTTTTCTTAGCCTACCTCTGTCCTACTTTCCACTTGTTTGCCTTCGTTTTCCTTCTCTTATTTTTTCCTCTGCTTCAGTTCCATCCTCTCCATATTTTTTCAACCTCATTATAACTTTCCTCTTCTTTCATGACAGACTGTATTTTGGTAGCACTACCGGTCAAAGGTCTGGACACGCGTTCCCATTCAATTCAATGGGAAAGTGCACAGATCAGGACAAGTGTTTTAAAACCATTTCTAAAGCTCTGAGTGTTCCCAGGAGCACAGGGACCTCAATAACTGTGAAATGGAAGAAGCCTGGAAACACAAGATCTCCACCTGAGTCCAAACTAAGTAATAGGCAAGAAGAGCCATGGTCAGGGAGGAGACCAAGATCCCAGCGCTCACTTTAACAGAGCTTCATAAGTTCCCTTGCAGAGATGGAAACCCTGCTGGCAGGACGACTATTTCAGCATCATGCTGTGGGGGTACTGCTCCATAGTAGGAGTGCCAAGACTGGTCAGAACTGAGGGAAGGGTGTAATGCAGCGAAACACAGAAAGGCTCTTAAAGAAAACCTGCTCCAGAGTGCATGTGACCTGATCAAAATGCACGGTCTCCATTGGTTATAATCCAGTGGCCCGCTGCACACAAAAACACACACTTTGGAATTTATCATTGAACATCCATGCAGTGTGTTTTTTTTTCTCGTTCATATTGTAGCCAGTGTTTTATGGCTGTGAATGCAAACAAAATTCCGCTCACCTCTATTGTATTTGAGTGTTTGCAGAGCTTTATGATGTTCATATCTAAAAGGCAAAACATTTTGCATGGAAGGACATCACAAGAGTGAGAGATCCATTTTTCTAATTTGTGTGAAAAACAAAACAGCCTGAACGTGAAAAACCGCATTTGTACACAATGTAACAAACTGCCACTAGTGAGTCTTAGTCACTGTGTGTAATGGGGATCGGCAGGGAGCAATGAGAAAAAAAAACACTTGGCAGTTTTCCTCAAGCAACATTAATGAAGCACTTAAGGGTAAAAACAGAGCTGGTGCAAGCTATGATGCACATCAAAACACCCACAGTCACTGGTTTCTATAGAGGCCTTTTTTAAACCTCCTTTTTCCAGCACTGATGTGTCAGCTATCAACTCCTGTTCTTCTGTTGAATCCTCTATCCACTGTTTTACAGATTAGTGGATTAATTTTCCTCCAAACAGGTCACAACAAGCTCAATACACACCAACCACAGACTGTATAACAGAAGGCACAAACACAGTAGACACATTAGCGCTGTTACAGTATATATCCAATATCATAAAATAATCTACTGGCTGTTCGTCATCCAGAATAGCGTGTGTGTGTGTGTGTGTGTGTGTGTGTGTGTGTGTGTGTGTGTGTGTTTTCCTTTCAGGTACTCGTACTGCTGTGGTATGGTAATGAAACCTTGCCCACAAACCACCCTTTGGTTTTCTGACAATTTAAAGTTCTCCCGTTCTTTCAAAGCCTTCAATCTTTGAAAACATTTGCTCTGAACCTCTTATTCAAATGAGTCAGCCTGCTGCGGCCGCCATGATTTTCTAACTCTGTAGTTATGATCGAAGCCAAAAACGACTGACACAAGCACACAGCAATTACGTAGTGCTCTTCTTCTGTATTTTACACAGTTAATGACTGAAGAGCTGTGGAACTCAAAGTTGATTTAAAAATAAAATGGTGCGTTGGTTAAAAATATTGATGCCAATACATTTTCAAGGTTGAAGTAATCAATTATGTCCACTGATCGAGGCAGCTGTACAATTGATGCTATGCTCTGCTTACCTTCACATCGACACACCTGACACCCTGTATGACAGACCTGAGATACTGGCATGATGTTTATATGTAGCAAAGCCCCATGCTCTGGTCAATACATGTTCTCTAATTCACTGTTTTTTTTTTTTTTTCTTCCCCCCTCCCTCTCTCTTCTCCACCAACCATCTCCTGACCAATGGCCGTACGACTTGGTTTCCTGTTCCCCAGATTGATCAGCCAATCGATGGGGATTTTCAGAGGAGCTCCACCCACCTTCACCGCCTGCCTTCCTCCTCCCCCCTCCCCCCGTGCCCGCACCCACTCCATCACCCAGCCCTCCATCCAGCCCTTCGTACACAAAATGACTCTGGAACTTACTGAGTGGTCTTCTATATGGATTTTTACTGCTTGTAATAGACAGTAAAGAAAAAGAGGTGGTAACCTCAATGAGAAAAAAGCCATAAACACACACCACACACACATACACATTCACACACAAGCACACCACATGCACACACAAACTGAGATACTGACATACCAAATAAAGCTGACAGAGTTTTCTAGGCAGTATTTGATACACCTGACAAACGCACACAAAGAAGGGAATGTACAAGTTTACTCTTGGAATGTACTGCACACTCTTCCTGTAAAAGTTCAACTGCTTCCTTTATTTTCAGTATTTTCTACAAGCATTTGGAAAGCTGACCTTGTTATTTTTTTCCAGTCCTGGGTGGTGGGGGGAACTAGGATAGAGAAGGATTAATACTTCTGAATTTGAAGCTGCAGTGCTTTTTGGAGGTCTGCTTGTTTAGAGGACAACTGAGTGGTCATTTAGCTTGCTTTTTTTTATACTCTAGCAGATCTGTAAATTCTGATTTATGCCAGATCTATATATCCAATAGGTCTATATAGATCTATATATCCAGTTTTCTTTATTTCTTTAGTGTCCACAGTCTTTGGAATTTTAGCAGGACCAGTTTTAGATAAGTTTTATTATCTCGTGTGCTGGGACACTATCTGTAAAAGTTGTTTTTTTTTTATCTTAGTGTCTTAGTGGTGTTAGCACTCCATCGTTTTATTCTTTTAAAGCAGTAAATACTACATAACCAGCTACAACCACAGTTTGCAATTTGTGGCTTGTAAGGATTGTAATTAAGTTACGAAGACACTGTTGGTTTCAAAGTGGCCACAGGTAACTTGATATAAGTCCTTCGTGGAAGCAGGGAAGTTGTTTTTTTTTTTTTTTTTACTTTTGTTGCTACAGGTAATTGTTCTCAGATTTGCCAGTGTGCTAGAAGAGGTGCACTTGTTTACTCATTGCGTGCATGCCCTCCACCATGCCTCCCCAGAACACGGAGGCTGACGCTATGCAGGTCGGATCTCTGGTGAGCGGGGTTAATAACAAGAACTCCACAGCATCAGGTTCAGATGAGGACAAAGGAGGAGCAGGAGGGGAAACGGATGGATTGGGAGGAGGAGGAGGTCAAGGAGGGGAGGAGTCAGCAAGCGAAGGATCGATAGAAGGCATTTCTTTGAAGAGATGGTTGATGCATGGGGCCGTGATGTTCGGTCGGGAATTCTGCTACGCCATGGAGACGGCACTGGTCACACCTGTACTGCTGCAGATTGGTAAGTAACGAGTCCACAAACGCACCGATCAAGAAAACACATTTACATAAAAACACTATTTTATTACTCACATCAGCATCTGTTGAGTGCTAAATTTCAGAAAAACTGTTCCAATTTAAAAAAAATGAGTGCAGCCCACCTGGTCAAGAAAAACACTTCCTCTTTACTTTTCAGTCTTGAAAACATCATCAGGAAAAAATTTTTAGTAACCTTTAACAAACTGTGTTTGGGCAGGATCTTGGGTTTCTTATTCAGGATATGAACATGGAATCTTTGCTAACAGAAATATTTGGAATAAAAGGAGCTATAAAAGTCTGTGACTGGGAGCAGGGAGTCTGCTGTTTGTCCTTGCATTCAGGAAGACACCTTGGCAGCTAAAATGTTCAAGAATGTAACACACCTTCCATTCACCCTTTTCAGATGGTCTTTTACTGGGCCTGTCAGGAGGTTAGCTGGCTCGGACTCTGACTCCCTGCACACACGCACACGTGCAGACAGCGTGCTGTCATTTGCATCTAGTGTTTTCTTTGATAATTTTTGAGAAAATGCCAAGTCCACTTTTGTCTGGAGTACTACTCTAGAGCCCAAAGAGAAAATGTAGAGGGTGTGAAGAGTGAAAAGGAGGAGAGGAAGAGGGGCAAGAACATGAGAGGGAGATAAAAGGCTGAAGCAGCCGTAACCTTATTTATAATTCAGAGTCACTTCCCATGCAGTCCCCGTTCTTTCTTGCTTTTCTCTCCAAATCTCTCCTTCCTCCTCTGCGACATAGCGTGATCTCCTACCTTCATAACCAAGTCGACATGACTGGTCGCTCTCCAGCCACTATAATATCTGGCTTTGGAAGACCTGCTTACACTTTTCTGTCATTTCAAATGGACGGTGCTAAAACCTGGCAAGTCTTGGAAGTTAAAGTTTTTTTCTGAAGAGTGCTGTGCTCTAATTGCATTGGTTTCAGCCCTAAAATAATAATAGCAATGTTGGGATTTACTCTGTTTATGCGTGTAGCTTTTAATCATAGCTACTGTAACCTTATATCAGGCCTGTCTCCTGTGGTAGTATGCTGCCTGCTTTTTTTTTTGTTCTAATTTGTTCTGATTTTGCCGTCCTGACCTGTTCTCTCTTGGTAGATATTGGAACCACAGAGAGGTACATCTGCTCCAGATTAATCCACTGAAATCAATAAAGCAGACAGAAAGAGGACTTTATTGGCTAGCTGAGATTCATCAGTTATAAAGAGAGTAAGTCCAGTCATGGTGGTCTTTTTGTGTCAGACTAATTGTCTGTCATTAGTTTGATCTTTTATCCTGATCATAGGCAGAGAGGATTGTCTTCCCTCTAAATGAATTATGAAGTAGATTGCAGCCAGTAGTGGCCACACTTCCACCACCATGTGGATGTCAGGCTGCATGACTGCCTGAAACGGGACAGTAGCTCTATTCAGATTACAGCCATGTTTAAACCTCTTGGTTTAATATCACAGTGCTAACAGGCCAGTCAGCACATTTGTTGTGTGAATAAAGTTGAAAGCAGCAGTAATGTCTTTTCTTGTGGAGCAAGACAACATGGACATATCAGCACTGTTTAATGTGCCAGCCTTGTTACAGAAATGATGCAACATAACCAGTCATTTGAGGATGTGTTAAGGGGTGTCTGACACAGACAGGCCTTAACTAGCATAGGGAGGGGGTTATCAAAGTTCAGAAGGAGTGTAAAGCATGTTCAAGTTCTTTCACTTTTTTTTTCTCCAAAGCAATTTTTTTAGTCTTGACTGCCTCCTAAGAAAAATGTCTCACTCATTAACAGCTAAATGTTTTACTAGTTGTGAGCCTGATGTTTTGGTGCTGGGAAAATAGCAAATAGCTGATTTATTACAGCCTTTTTGATAAGAACTCACTGTCTGCTCTGGTTGGAAACAAGGCTAATAAGAGTGAACTGTGAAGCTGTGGTCTACAAAACAAATGTGCTGAAAAAGGATTGATATGCTCTGTAGAACTGAGGGGGCCAGTTTAGGCAGGTGATAATTCTCCCTGGGTTCACCACTGTTTGTAGCTTCATTGTCAGTATTTTTTTGATTTGATTTGATTCTTTCAAACATGTAACGACAGTCAATATGTCAACACACATAATTTCACACATATCCACAAATCCAATATCAATTTGCTTATACCTAGTACATGCTTGAACGGAGTAGGAAGAAGTCAGACTTATCTAGTCCTACCCCATGACATCATCTTACCATCATTGGTTTGCAAGCAGTATTACTACATAGATAATTATGTTCTACACCACGCTAGTGATATACTAATATTACAGACTGTTAGCATTCTTACATAATTACATACTTTGATAATTATCTTCTACATCACACAAGTAGCAGTAGTACAGTGTTAACATTCATACACCACACCCACAGTGTTACACCTGATTAATCGTTGAGCCTGTTCTTGCATATATCTTGATTGACACATACCTTTATATTTATGTTTAAACTCGTCAAGTCTATTACTATTTTTTATGTCTACACTTAAATTATTCCATAGTTTTACCCCACTTATGGAAATACAGAATCTTTTTTTGGTTGTACGTATAGCATGAATTTTATAATTTAACTGACCCCTTAAATTGTATCCCCCTTCCCTTTCATTAAATAGTTTTTGAATTCCACCAGGTAATAAATTGTTCCTGGCTTTATACATAAACACAGCAGTCTTATATCCCACTAAATCAAAAAATTTTAACAATTTAGACTGTATGAAAGCTACATTGGTGTGATCCCTATACCCCATCTTATGCACAATTCTTATCGCTCTTTTTTGTAATATATACAATGGTTGAAGTGATTTCAATATGTTGATTCATTTAATCTCAACTTCTGTTTTCAGTTAATGTTGCTACACTGGTAGTTCAGTGTGAAACGATTTGGAAAGATTAGTGGGGTAGTCATGTCTAAGCTGGAAATAAATTCTGCGTACGATTTAATAGTGAAGAAATCCTCTATGGCCCAAAACCATTTCGCCAATAAAACACAATTGTAAAAATATTGATAAGACCATTGTAACGAGTCAAAGAACTGTTGATACAACAAACAAGGTGAGAGCAAACAGAAGTAAACTAGGAATAGGAAAATACATTTGGGCTTATGTGTTGGTGACCTACTTTCTTTTGAATGGAACACCACATTCCAGTCTTTGTAACACATCAATGATCAGCTCACTAGGTTAGATTTGATCACGTATAACCTTTTAGCAGTTATCCATCGTCAAGTGTGAAGCCACGCTCACTGCGTTTCCTCCTCGCCCTCCGCCTCATCTAATCAAAGCCAAGTGTTCCTCTCAGTTTGGTTCTGCGCAGCTCCATTCATATTTTCACCTACTAACAGACAAACTGATGTATTGATGTGAAAACAACCCCCCCCCACCCCATGTTGCTGGGGACCGACTGTAGCTCCTGGAATTAACTGGTAAGCTGGCTAGTTGGCTCATTCTGAGTGAAACCATTGTGTATAACCCCATAACAATGGGTCGCTGAAAGAGAGCGCATGGTTTTGTGTGAGTTTTCAGCAGACACAGTTTGGTCAAGGAGCCCATGTTTACACATCCCAGAGAAAGGATAAGAAACATCTGCCTTACAAGGTGCTGTGTGGAGAGCATGCCGAGGCGCTGTGTCTCCGAGCTCCTGGCAGGATTCCAGGATGCAGGCTAAAGGCATGGACACATTGCAGTTGTTGGGCTGGTTTAAGTTGTTAGATGTTGGTAGTTATTTTCTGTGTTAAGACTGGCCAAGCTAGTGTTGACACTAGGGGGATAAATACATTTCACCCCAGAGTTTACAGTTAGTTTTTTTCTGTTTTTTTTTTTTTTTTTTTTTTTTAAATGGTAGCATAGGGAAACAACGTAGCTGATTTTGAGTACAGTGAGCAATGTCTGCATTACCAGAGCCACAATTCTCTCCTGTAGGGCTGTTATCAGTGGTTGTAGCCATGTTCTCTTTTTGAGACGAAGGATCCAGTCACTGATAATAAAGAGATGATTAAGAAAATAAATTTAATCTAAGGTGCACTTAGATTTAACTTACTGGTCAGTGGCTTTGATTCATTCTGCCTCTTTCTTTTACATATACTGCCTTTATTGAAAGTTGCCCCAAGTAAGAGCATCACCTACAATAATGACTTAATGCAACTAACGGTGAGGTCAAGTCAGTGATAGGAAAGGGATTAAGCAAGATAGAGAGGGAAAAAAGAATGGATAGAGAGGGAGGAAAAGGAATGCCTTTGAAAGGAGAGCTGGGAATGAGGAGGTGATGAAGTTATGCAATGCGTTGTCATTCCTTTTGGTCTGAGTCTGGTACATTACATAAGCTTTCTCAGAACTGAGCTCAAAGTGGCAGAGAAAAGCAGTTAAAAGCATCATGATGCTCTCTGAAGACAGAAGAAGAAACTGACATGGCTACTTGAGGTGCAGCAGAGCTCCACTAACTTCAGGAACAATGGGATAACCACTAAAAGTTCACGTACTGCCAAGTTCACAGCCTAGTCTCCAATTAGGGGCACAAAAAGCCCTGTATGCGAGATAAGTGCCTGCAAACACTAGGCAGTACCTTTGTCTTTAGTAAAGCCAAGAAGGCCTGCAAAGAAGTACATTTCAATTTACAACAGCAGAAATTATGGTTTGTGGTAACGAGTGAAGCTTACAGCACTAGGTTTGAGATCAGTCATTTTATTATTGTTGTACATTCATTTATTACACCTATTTAATGACTCTGCAAAAAAAAAAAAACACTACCCTGTTAAGTAATTTTAATCCTGAAAGTCAGATTTTCCTAACTCAAGTGAGAAAAGTGGTAGTGAAATGAGATGTCTATTAAACCACCTGTTTAATACATGACAGAACAATTATTCTCTAGTGTACTGCATCAAGTTGTTATCCTCTGTCAAGACACTGACACTAATTTATATCACATTTTTGTGACAAGTTAATTTGCATTAGAAACTAAGCAAATAA